TCCTGGACTCCTTTGCCTTTCAGAACTGAAACAAGGCCAAGTCACTGAACAGGCCAAAGTCTGCCCACCAGAAGTCCAAGTGGCAGTTCTGCTAGCCCCCTTCCTTGCTTCTCCAAGGATTGAAAACTCTTATCATTTCATGATCACTATGCCCAAGACAGCCTCCAACCATTACATGGTTGATGGAGCTGCATGTCTGATTCTGTCCAGTGATGCCCACACAGACAGCTAGTGCTTGAGCTTCCCCCTTGTAGCCTGCCTGCACTCAAGTGGAGAGTGCTGGAGGCAGAGGCTGGGGGAGAGTCAGAGCCCACCATGCCCATGATCCTTCTAGGAACTCCTCTCTCCAAGGAGTATGGACACAGCCATCTCATCTCTTCTCTTGGGTCCTGACACCACACACAGTACTGAGCATGAGTCCTGGGAAGTGGCAAGATGAACCTTCAGGACTATCAGCATAGCTGCAGGGTCAGAAGGAATCTGACAGGACAGAGACAAAATCCTGACTCTACAAAATGGAGTGAAAGGAGCAAGATTTCCATTTCCCTGGAGCAGAAGGGATCTTCTGCTATTTGCTGCTCTCCTTCACCTCCATCAGCAACTTGGTGACTTGGTGAGTTTCACCATCAAAATACTAGGGCTTCTAAGAAGCTGTGTCTCCTCCTCTTCCCCCACCCAGAGCTCTGTAGTGCACAAAGCCATAATTTAGCACCAAATGTTATTCTTTAAGTCATAATTAAGTATTTATTTCCTCTTAGCTTGCAACCCAAATGTAATCTGATAGTCATTCAGTGACTGCCTGGTTAATAGCTGCTGTGCAATTGTAAGCTTCTAGCCTGGTTATTCATACCAGTAGGATGGTAAGGTACCCCTGAAAAGTGCTTTGCGTTTGTTTTAACCATTTAAATTTCAGTCATCTCCTTGATAATTCTGTTAAGGGCATACTAATGTCTCTTTTCAAGGAAGATACAATATTCTTTCTAATTGTTGTTGTAAATATTTGATTTAATTACAATATTGCTTGACTGTGATTTGGAAAATAAAGTACAGGCTCAGCTGAGTGAGGATTTGTAAAGCTGAATGGATGAAACTCCAAGAATGCGTAAAAGAATCCTTGATTTCTGTTCCACCAAAAGGGATCTTGATTTCAATAGAAGTTTTGCCTGAGTAAAGATTTCTCAAGATTTGGGCTCTCATCTTTCTAAAAGCAGTCTCTCTTCAGGGATGTTTTAAGATGTGTGCAGAACAATAGCACAGAAGAATGAGAGCCTGATCCAAAACTCATTGAAATCAAAGGAGGTATTTCCATTATTCAAAAGAAGATTATAGAGTGATGTACAGGAAAATATCAGGAATTATTCCATCAGCCTTCACAGGAAAACATTCAGCTGTAAACATTATTGTTGATGGCAACCATTATGCTTATAGTTCCAAGAACAACAGCTCTTCTTAACACAGTATCGGAACAACAAATAACTGTATTTTTTTTTTTTCTTGAAGAGGGTGAAACTATTACATTCAATCATTCTGAACAGGACAAAAAGAAGATATTTTTAAATCTAAACAAATGTTTGTGATGCAATAATCTGTTTGTTGCAGGAAACAGTTTTGAAGTGCGCTGCGATTTTTATAAAAACTTGTAAAATTCCTATAAAATGAATATTTTATTTACTGATAAACATGCAATCATATTCTTCTTATAGGATGCTTTTAAGAAATAAAATCTAAAAATGATACCTTTACTAATAGTCTACATTTTAGAGCAACACAAACAGAACTGTTTACCTGACATGTTAGGACCATATATTATTTTCATCTTCATTATATTTTGTAGTACATTTTACAGCACATATCACTGATTTTTCCTTTTAAATGACTGCATTTAAAATAATCTAGCCAGATATTTGGGTGCATAGGAATTTGATCAGTTTTTCTCTTCCTTCTTTCACCAGAGCTAAACATTTATTCTCTTAAAGCTACATATCTAAGTGACTCAGGATTGAATTGTTTCAAGATGCCTGTTTTGACTTTGAAGGGGCTTTGTTTCCAAGGGAGGCAAAAAAATACCTGTTCTCTACCAATCTGCCCTCCTTTGGATTTCTCCAAAAATCCCATTAAAAATGTAGGCTTTATTCTGGCACCTGTGCAGTTGAAAGAATATTTTCATTGCAAAGCTGAACTGATGCAAACATATAAACCTTAAGAAATGGAGTAATGATCGGTTAAACATGTTACTTTTCCAGCTGTCCATGCCGCTAGCAGCAGTTTCTGTTCTCCAGCAGAGGCAGCAGGATGGGAACTGTTCAGTCCAGTGCGTACAAGCTGCTGCTGAGCCTTGTCTACTGGAGCTGTGTGTCGATAAGCGATTTGAAACTCTGCTGCTAATAAGGAATGACATTATGTGTCACGTTGGAGCACTGACTCTTAAACTGAATGATTGAAGTTGCAATTGTTCACTGTTCCATTGCTAGTCTGGATGTTGAAAGTATGTAAGACAGATAATATATACAATATATAAACCATAATACAATGGTCTGCCTGTCTTATCGATTTACTTACAGTAGCTTTCTTCCAGTCTCTTGTCCAGAGACTTTCAGGAGCGAACCTTGGGAAAATGCTGGTCTGTATGTTCCACTTGCACTCCCCATTGCATCATACTGCAGGGTCCCAACCTCCTCATTCTCTCTGACTTGCTTAAATAATAATAAAGAACTTAACTTTATGTCCACTCTTTCCTTAAAGCTCCAGAAACAGCTGTCTGAGCTGGATGAGGATGACTTATGCTATGAATTTCGTCGAGAACGTTTCACCGTCCATCGCACTCATTTGTATTTTCTACACTACGAGTATGAGTCTGCTTCAGACAATACCGATGTCACGCTGGTGGCTCAGCTTTCAATGGACAGGTAGGGAAAATCTCTTGTTCATCCGGAAGCACAAGACGACTATTTTCTTACAGAGAAATCCAACTATGTGATGGTTTGAGGAGAGAAAAAACTCACTTTCGTAGAAACTTGGATGTCATATTGTTAAGACTTTTCTTGAACTAGGAGTAACACCTGTAGATATCACGCATGCACTTGGACTTCAGCTCTGCAGTGCTCAGACAGGTGTAGGCAGAGTTCATGAGAGGCTGAATACTGGAGCTGCAGGTGGTGTTACTTGTCAGGATTGTCAGGCATTATTAGTTTATGGAGTTTTGTGGCAATATAGAAAAAAACAGGAGATGTCATAGTGTTAGGCAAGCAGTTGTAGCTGATCAAGTTTTTACACACAGTATTTCCTTATTAGGCAGTGTTAGTTTTGCTTTCACTGGCATTTTCCTTGCATAAAATTTCAGTTGTATTTTTTATTGTAGTTATAATCAAAACTGAACATTACAGTTTCAAATTATTATTTTTAAATGTTCTAGAGTGAAATGAAAAAATCTCCTTTTGAGAGGAGTCATTGCATTTTTATATAAATGTTGGTTTTCAGAATAACATTTCTAGTTTAACTCTTTTCAACTTGCAGTTCTAATATAAAGTGGAATTTAACTGGCATTTCATTTGGGAAAAGGAGTCCATTTCGTGACAAGTCCCACCTGCACTTCTTTGGTTCCCACCATGGCAATTAGTTGTCATTTTTCAAAAGCTCTGAAAGTGCAGTCCGGATCTGCCAGCTTTGTGAAATTTTGAATCGTCAGTCTCCTATTTCTTCCTGCTTCTCAGTTCAAACCTAATCCAAACTTTGTAGTTACTGCTATCAGAGTGGGTTACAAAACAGGTCAGAACTCCTTGACTATTAGCCAGAACCTCATATTTCATTTAGTGCAGCACATACAGAATACAACATGACCCGTGAATACCACCACTGCTGCATCAGTGGAAGGTCAGCACTATTCCAGGAGAGTCAGAGGAATTCAGATCAACAAAACATTTACAGCCCGTTTTAAAAAGCAACATGAATAAATGAGGGCTATTCTGTTTCGCCAGTGCCTCAGCACTGCATCCTGCACATTGTGTTATGATTTGCTATGTGCATCAGTGTCTGTTCTATTGATTTTTAATTGAGGAAACATTTCTTAAGTGTTCACAAACCTTTGAGTAAAAAACTAAAGAAATAAATTAAGCCAGACCCTGAGTGAGTGCCACAGTAAATTAGTAAAGCTGGTGTGTGCACATGGTATATTTTCCCCCCAGAATTTAATTCAAAAGAATGAGCTGGGGCTCAGTGCTGTTTCACTGGCACTGATGCAAAGTCTGAGCATCTGTTTCCCTTTCTGGATCCTCACTGGGGTACATGTTTTTATTGATAGACAGAACCACACATTTTTATTCAGGAAGAACAGCCCTCCTGATACTGTGCAGGAAAAATCTTCCCTGCTTTGTTGGTGTGTTGCTATAAATTATTGATTTGAGTTGGAACTACTTTCTTTCAGCTAAAATCAATAAATAATAGCATACCAAAGAGCTGTTTAGCTGCTTTGTTTTCTTTCACATCTTTCACTTACTGCCTTATTTTTTGTATCTCCTTTACACCACTTATATTAAGCTCCTCCAGCGTCGCTGCAGACATTTAAGAATAGTGTCTCAGATGTAAGATGACATGTACATAAACACTCTGCTATACACTCCATTCCTGCACCGTTCTTTCAAATAATCATCCAAGATGAGGAAAGGCAAAAAAACAACTCCCAGTGTCTCCAATTATAGCCTTGTTGGAGGTGAGACTGACATGACTGTCGTGACAGGCTTATGTTTGCCTGTGCTATAGGCTAGGGGAATGGAAAAGAGGGATGCAGTTTAGGAGCTAACATTACTGTCTTTAGATAGGAACTTTGCAACAGACTTCATCCAGTGTTGTTCATTATTGGTTAATTGTCACCTTTTACACTGATGTGACATCTTGGAAAATGGCTTTGGTTGCATCACTGTGGTTTTCATCCGTATGTTTTGGCTGGGCAGCCTTTTCAAAGGCACGGTGTGTACCTGCGTTTCAGAAATCAGAGTGGGAGTTACAGAAATGTGAGATCAGGATGTGTGGAAGGAGAGACACAATTAGTATTACACTGCTTGAAGTCTGGGTGAGAATTGAGTGTTAAATTGGTTGAGTAGTCTTAAGAAGAAACGTGAAAACAAACAATCTCACAAAACTATTGAATTCCAGCAAAATTCTCTTGACTGAAACAGAACTTCAAAATAATTTACCAACTAAATGATGACCTTATTATTATGCAGTACACGAGTATATTTATTTTCTCTAGAGTCCTTAAGAGAACGCATTCCTCAAGATCGCTAACAAAACCAAAATAATTTGGTCATGTTGTGCTTAGAAAGTCATAATTTTAAGTTTTATAGTCAAAGCAGACTATTCTAATAACCTAGAGAGAGCAGATTATGGAACAGTACCCAGTAGTCCCTGTATCAAACTTGCAGAAGTGGAGCCTGTCAATGAGAACGACACAGCAAAATGGAGTATTCTGAAGGGCACTAAGCTGTCCAGCTGGAAATTTATACCAGCAAAACCCAGTTCCCGCTTAACTATCGTGAAAAGCTTTGCAGGCATTATCAGGTGTGCCGTTTAAATAAGTTATGTGTGCCATTTGTCCACTGCGTGGAGTCCTTGAAAGGCATTTTGCTGCATTTCTTGCTAGGCAAGTATTCCATTTTTAAAAGGCTGCCCTAAATCTGAGTGTTGATGAATTGGAGCCTCCTGATTAATAGGTTTCCACTGTGTTGGAAAAAGGCAAAAAAAATAGAAGTTACTTTTCTCTATTTATTATTTGTACAGTCAAAAGCCTAAAGCCTCCACATACTTTTTAGATCTTTTTTATCGATTTGTGTTTCTAATTCGGCTGTATGTTTCAGGCTGATAATAACCTTTGTTTCAATAATAGATAAAAAGAAAATAAAGTACCAGGTATAGACTTGTAAAGGTAGTATCTCATATCTAAGAAAAAGTTATTATATCGTCTGGGATGTCATCACGATCATTCAGAAATGCAGGAAAAAGCTATTAGTGTTAAATCAGAATGTCTGTTTGCTGGTATATCATTCCTTTCTGCTGCAAAGCTTAGGGAGATAGTAGGAGGGGGGAATTATTTTCTCTGATTACAACGATGCAGAAAACTTTTCTTGTGTTCTGTATAAATATTAATGGGAAAAATCTAGTAATGTGGATTTGGAAGGGAAAGAAGATAATCATGTTGCATAATTTTTAATAGAATATCTGGCTAGGCTGCATAGGTTCATTTCCCTTTCTATTAATTCAAGAGGCTTTGTAATCAGTCCTTGCTGTATTTTTGGGTGGCATATCTTAATCTCAAGGCGATTCTCTATAAATTACCCAAAGTGCTTAAATGATTGTGACCAAGCTGGGTTTGATTTATGTTTGTGTATGAGATTTTTTTGTTGTCATTTTCATCAATAGTATTGTAACTGCTGGGAGTTTTAAAAAATAGACATCACTACAACCTCTTTTTAAAAAAATTATTTAATGAAATTTGGGATACTGCTAAAACATATACAAATGAGTACTTTAAATGATGGCTTTGTCTGAAATGTTCTTTTGATATTCTACAGCAATGCCATGTCTCTCCCTCCTTCTTTCCTTGCACCCTACACATAATAAATCCCATTTCTATCAAGGTCCTTTTGCCCTTTCTCTGTCAGTGAGTTTTTCTCTAGTCAATGCAAATATTCATATAAGTCAGTATGGCCTAGAGCTATCATTTTTAAGAGCTTTTAGATCTGACTAACTGCCTTGCAAAACTTTAGGGAAGGTTTTCCTAAACAGGAGGTAGAATGATCTGTTGGTCTGTACACCTTTCTCCTCCACAAGCATGTTGAAGAGCACGGTGGCATGTTAGTTTGCGAGAATAGCTTGACCTGAAGTGTGAGCTGGGCACTAGACACTGTTTAAGATTACGAGACCCTTATCCTGTAAGTAGATCCACATGGACAGATCCCTGCAACTGCTCAAAGCTCCCATCGGATGAAGTCTCATCGTCCATGTCAGTTTTCCTGCAGCATCAATGCTTTAGCCAGAAAGGATGGTGTTGATTTCACGTAGCCTTAGGTATCTGAGTTCCAGATGTGTATGTCTGAGCTAGGGCTGTTTTAGGCTCCCTTGTATTCAGTGGAAAGTAGTAGGCATATCCAGCAGGGCGCAGTCCATCTGTCCAGAAGGAGACGTCAACTTAAATGAGATTAATTGTGCTGAAGAAATACTTATTGCTTTCCACAGCATATAAAGTGACCCCAATCTGTCTCACATAGAGGAATATATCTGCGTTTGATCAGATGAACCCAGGCAAAGAGCCCCAAGACAGGGAAACACTCTTTTCTTATTCTCACCCTTCCTCTTTCAGGCTCCAGATGCTTGAAGCCATCTGCAAACACTGGGAAGGTCCAATCAGCCTGGCACTCTATCTTTCTGATGCAGAAGCCCAGCAATTTCTGCGCTACGCCCAGGGCTCAGAAGTACTTATGAGCCGCCACAATGTTGGCTACCATATTGTGTACAAGGAGGGCCAGTTCTACCCTGTGAATCTGCTAAGGAATGTGGCCATGAAGCATATCAGCACACCATACATGTTTCTGTCCGACATTGACTTCTTGCCCATGTATGGACTCTACGAGTACCTCAGGTAAATGGACAGTGGAGGGTTTCCCACTGTCACCAATGTTTTCAGCCCATCCACACCCCACCCTTCTGTCATATTCCCGAAACAATGCAATTTGAGCAGACCCGAAAGAAGCTGGTTATAGATATTTAAGGTGTGACAATGCCCAGCAAGGCACAAGAATTTTTATGGTAGAGAGAGAGGATGTAACTGGAACTAAAGCAATATGGTTATGAAAGAAAAAAATCATGTCTAAATATAAGCCCTGTTAGCCATCAGAATAATTACCTCAGAGCGCCAGAAGAATCAATTTGAAAATTGAACTGGGCTAAATGTTATTAAATGTGCGAGAGCATCTTGTATTTGCAGAGTTGTGAACTGAGTGATTTCCCTAACTATTCGTGGTTCTTAATGTCAGCGACAGAAAAAGCATGCAATGCATTACACAACTTCTTGTCCCTGTGACACACTCTTAATCCAGTTTCATGTCATGAAAAGGGGGTCTAACCAGCTCAGAAATACGACTGCAACACCAGCACCTGTCCAGGCAAAACAGTTAGCGTAGGGAAACTGGGAAGAGTAACCTCAGTGTGTATTGGATCAGAATGAACATGAGCAGGTTGGGCTGAGCAAACTACATCTGATCCATTAACTGAGCTTTTTTTAGTAAAGACCTTTTTCCCCTGCAGATACTGGTCATCTGAGGGCAAAGCATAGAGCAAGGAGGACACCCTGTGGCCAGACAGGCAGATTTCAGTTCCTTAATCCTGACCAGTTTTGCTTTTCATCTCTGTTGTAATTTGGTAAAAGTTGATCAAAATGTTACAGTGAGGGCCTGCCTCTAGGTGGTCCCTTTCAGTCCATAGGGCTGGGGTTCTGGAGTGTAAAGGGAAATACATCTTTCAGTATCATAAACTTACAGAGACATTCCTTTGTTTCAGGCTTAACAACTCGGTAAGCATCTTCTCACTTCTCTCTCATGTGGAGAATTAATTGCCTTTTTCAATTTCTGCATCCATATACAGGACCAAATTCACTATGGCTTGTAAGACACTGGATTTCAATAATACCATTGAAGGTTTATCCTACTGTGTCAGCCTGTTTCTGACTTATTTTGGGGATATTTCTTTTTGACTTACACTGTGAGGATTCCAATATAATTCTGGCCCTTGCACACAATAACTGTTTCAAGATATCTGTAGAGACTGTTAGATTTTCTGTTCTTTGATGTTAGTGTTGCATACTCTTACCTTTCTTCAGATCGATGCTTGACACAGTAGGGAAGGCAGCTGTTGATACTGGCATGTAGTACTAAAAAAGCAACTTGTTCCTCCATGCAGCTTCACAGTGCACTGATTGGAGCCAGCACTGAAAGGAAGAATAGAGAAGACAGAATTATGTACCACAGTATACTTGAGATATTACAACCATAGAAACCATTCTCGTAGGGTGATAATGCATTGTAGGACTAAATGCACAGTGGTGCCACCCATTGGTGCTGTTTCAGAAGAAAAAAAACAAACAGATTTGCACTGAAAGCTGTTGCATCCATGACTTTGTGTTATTCTGACAGCCTTTTGTGAGGGTAGTACCACCTTAACTCTGTGAGTGTCTGTTCCCTGGGAATATTGAAATTACTAATCTGCTACTGCCAGCTCTTTAAAAAGGGATTGGATTCTGTTGCGTGTGGACTAGAGGCTTTTGTTGCTTTTTCAATAATGATTTTTCTGAGCAAAATAGCAGAGAAGTATAGTGAAATTATTTAAATAGAGATACCCTGTATCTTTCTGCATTGACTGTTCCCACCGCCTCTGCAAGTAGCTGATTAGTGCTATCTATCTGAATGGCAGGAGTTGTTTGTTAGAGAGACGTACAAACATTTTCGTCTTCATTTCCTCAGAAAGAACAACCATAAGCAAATAGAAATGGTGTGGTGTTTCAGGCATCACTTTGTACAGGATAAGCCAGACAAGTCCCTCTCATTTGACAGTTTACTGATTTACATATAGTATGTATCATGTCTCTACAGACAATATGTTCTCAGAAAGAAAAGAATTTTGAAAAACATTTTCCACGTATTTTGAAGGTATCTTATGTGAAAGGTTACAGCCAGTTTTGAAGGAGAAGCTGATGCTTACCTGTCCCTCTAGGTGTCCATTGCTACCACTCAGATTTGTGCTGAGCTTTTTCACAGCTGCTAAGACAGACCATTTCAGTGATTTTAATCTCCATCAACCCCCCCTTTTTGTCCTACCTTACTCTGCTGTGACGTACAAAAGGAAAGAAATGTATCATTTGAAGCTTTCCTGTTTACAAAACTCAGACACTTTTGCGGTCTGTGCTGAGGTGAAGTCTTTTGTCACCTTCCCTCATTAGTTATCTTGTCATTGCCCCAGAGGTAAAGGCTCTTTCTGGTTTCTACAAGTAGGGTGTGTGAGTCATCCTAAAGGTTCTTCTAACATAAAATAACTAGACAGGACACTTATCTACAGCTAACATTGAAGTTCTTCCATGACACATTTGTGTGAAAATATGCCCTTTGCTTCCCGTGACACATTTAGTATGAATTGGGAGCTGGCATCCAAGCTCTATCCACAGGTTTTGTACCTGTCCTTTGCAACATGAATTGTGAAGTATTTATGGTTGTTCTTCAGCATCTCAGCAAGAGGCACACTTCATGTTGTGCCTATTGTTTTTTACTTGTGGAATGCCTTTGTAGGCATTGTTGCTTTTGCAGAAAGGAAGAATATTCTAATGAATTTATCAGTGGACTGACAGCTATCCAGTTCTTATTACAAAATCTGTGACTGCCATACTCATTGATCTCAAACTAACTTACCGAGTCCTGATGGTGGAAACTAATTTGAATTAATGGACTCTTTTTTTCCCTCCCCCTCTGAATTCAGTGCTTTAGGATTAGGTTGCTAATCTTTCTGCATCTGAGCTTCTCTGTCTTCCATTAAATGGGAATCATATCACTATCTGCCCACATGAGGGTGAGAACTTGTTAATTTTTGGAAAGGACTATGGAGAAGAAAAGACTCATATCAACATGCTCGAATTCGTTCAACCTGTGAGGAGGTTTTTGTGATTTAAGATTGATTTCTTCCATGCTTTGCAAAAAATAGGGTTGATCAGTAGATTAGAATTTTAACCAATGTTCACTGTGTCAGAATGACATACATCAGATCTGAACACAAAGATGCCTGAGAAACGGTTTCCTGGACAACACTAGCAAAGAGAAAGCTCTTCACAAAATCATACATCCTTATTTTGGAGTATGGGGGAAAGGACATATAAAGGAAAATGGATACTGAATTTATATTTCTGAATCTGAAAAACAGTCCTTATAAGGATAGTTTTGGAATTACCACTGCAAGTTTGCAAAACAACCAGATGTATTCCCTACATTATATTCCACATATCTTGCAACACTAACAGTGAAAATTTTCTTGTTCCAAGTATCACAGAACCAGTCAACCAGCAAATGGCACCTCTACTCAAAACAGGAAAAAAAGTCACCCCACAGGAAAAGAAAAGTAGATTTTCTTCCAACTGGAAGAGGTTAGATTTTTCAGCTGATTGTCTGAGGAGCAGACCACCAGCCGAGTTATCAGAAGAAGATGGGGTTTTTTTCTCTACCAAATCCTCCCTGCCATTATCACAATTTACATGGCCTCTGTTGTCCTTTGTCACTAATGTTCAGCATGTGGATGTCAACACTGATTCCTTCTTCCCCTTATATTAGTCCTTTATGTCCTCTGGTCCACATCAAAGGCAGACTGTGCTACTCAAGAAGTCAGTGCTGCTGGACTTCTTGATGCAGCATGTCTCAACTCCCAGCTCAGTTTTTGTGAACCCCTCCACTTTGGCATTACCAACATGCACCTCAGATGCTCAAATATCTCTTGAAAATATTTCTGCAGAGATAATGTCACTATTTTATTTCACTCTTGAAGTACCACCACCAAGTCTCTGTGTTTAACCATATCCACTACAAGCATCTTGTTTTCAGACCACTCCTTCTCTCCACTTACCTAACTTTTCAAGTTGACCTTTGATGGTGCAAGTTATTTTAACCTCTTGTATCAGTTTGTTCCAACAGGTCTGCCATTGACACATACTAAATTTGCAGATGACAAGAGTAGGGAATGTACAGAAATTAGTCTTGATATCATTCTTGTACTTATATTCCGTATCTTACTAGAGGAGTCACGTTCAACAGTAGTTTCAACACAACTTGCTCATTTTGACAGTCTCTGTTTTTACCTTTGATTGATACCTATACCTACTTCAGCTTTGTTCAGTTTCAGATGGTGAACTTTGGTGGCAGGATTGTGTCCTACTCTTTGACAGTGCCAAGCACAGCAAGGCTCTGAGCCTGGGACTTTTGGGCTCTCCATCAAAGAAAGAGATAGCAACAGCCATAAATGTAAGCTGCTGTCTCCTTGCAGAGCCCAAAGGGTGAGCATCACTGCAAAGGTTACCTGCTTCTTCCTAGAACTGAATCCCAAAAGCTGTACCACTCAAAGCTGATAGATCGCACAGAGTCCAGAAATCCTGACATGTTGGAAGAGAAACTGTGTTAGTGTCCCTGCTCTCAGAGGTGTGAAGAGGAAGAAACATTAAGAGCTTCATAAAGACTGGATGCTGGCACTGCTCAAGGATTCTGAAAGTGGAGGCTGATGTTAAAGAGTCGTCTATGTACATGCAGATATCTTGGCCATTAGTGATGGTGAGGAAGAAGCTAGTGAAGAAAGTACAAAAAAGTTATAATAATAAGATGCTGTTAAAATCCTTCAGTTGTGAACAGCTCACTGGAATGCGGCAAGGGTTCTTTAAACAATGCAAACTTTGCAGTAAGGCGCTGAGAACAGATTTCTTTTTATAGAACAGGTCTATAGGGTGGTGTGAATTCTCTAGAATTCAGATTTTGTAAAATAGCCCTGCTCCTCTTCTTTTTCTCTGATGGCAATATAAATGAATTCTAGGTATTCTAGGCCTAGAAAATGGATTGTTTGGTTCTTCTTTTATTATGACAGCAATCCCAATTCCTTCATCCTATAAGACTGTAGAGAGTTTGCTGCTTGTCAACATTGTCCTTGATTGCTTGTTGCAGTAACATAAAAGTCAGGACAGTGAATCCTGTTAAGGGGAACTGACTTTGACAGGAGGAGAGAGGAATATTTCTCATATGAAATACAAAGATAATGAAAGGAAAATCAAGACAGTTATTTCTAATGACAAGCATAGTAAGATTCAGCTTGGGGATGGAAAAGTAACTTCTTTTTCTATTTCTTTGGGTTTTAGTTTGTTAGGGAAGAATAGACAATACCTCTGGCAGGCAGGACATAATGTTGCTAAGCTGTTGCTCTCCTGCAGCAGTCATCCTAAGACCTCTGTCTGGAGAAGGGCCCTACTGTGCAAAATGCAGTACGTGCACACACATACAGTTACACACCAAAACAGTCTCTGCACTGAACAATTTGCACTGAAAGGAGGGAAATAGTGAGGAAGAGAAAAGCAAACTGCCATTGACTGTGCAGCTCTTTCCCATATGTGTAGGAACATTCAACTATGTTTCTCTGAAAGGGGGGGTCAGCTGGCCATGCTCAGAGTGCTAGTTCAGCTCTGTGCACTCCTGGACATGTGGGGCAGCATTGATCAGTCAAACACACAAGCTCTCTTTGAACTGTGGTGTTCTCCCTGCTCTTAGAGCAGCAGACCAAAAGTACAGGAAAGTATGAAGCACCTTTGGGGAAAAATATGGGCCGTAGTTACATTTACAGTATCAAACTGCCCATTCTCTGCACTTCATTTTGAAAAGCCAAGTGATTTGCTCAGTTTAAAATCTTCCTACTTTTACTTGTTGTTTCTTTTTGCCAGGAAGTCTGTCATCCAGCTAGACCTGGCTAACACCAAGAAAGCTCTGATTGTACCTGCTTTTGAGACCTTGCGCTACCGCCTCTCCTTCCCCAAGTCAAAAGCAGAGCTGCTATCTATGTTGGACATGGGAACCCTCTTCACGTTCAGGTAATGGAAAGTACTTTTGTTGAACCTATGGTCATTATCTCTAAAGATTTTTGATCTTCTTGTGCATATTTGATTTTTCTCTCTCACTGTCAGATAGCTAGCTCCATTAAGAAACCTATTGGCTTCTTTTTCCCTTTTCATAGAGAGGCAGTGAACAGAATCATATGTGAATATATTCCATCTGTAAGCTCAGCATTTCAGTTAGTATTATAGTCCTCTGCTGAAGGACTTCAGTTGTTAAATTGAATTTGTTTTATTTTCATCATTTTTTATTGCTCTACAAAATCAAGTGCAACCATTACACTCATGTGCATGTAATTTGGTTTTTGGCTGCCAAATACTATCCGGATAGCTGTGTCCCTCATGTGACCAAAAATAATTTCTCTCTGCTTGTTGGTTCTCTTTCCTACTGACTTACTGGGAAAACAAATGCAGGCTTCTCATGTGCTCTTTTAAAGTGTGAAACAGCTGTTTAAATAGCTAGAGTTTCTCAATGCAGAGGTAAAAATGTACTCTGACTAGAAGCTGAGAAACGAAGAACACCTGAATTTGGAGCTCTTCTCTGAAAGCAGATTCTTTTTGAGGCTGTGAACAAGTCACTTCTATTATCTGCCAGACTCTTCGGTTTTAAAATGCAACTACCAGGGGTTAACTGTCTCTTGGGTGTGTGTGGTACAGTCTGATTAGCAGACATTTGAAAAGCATCGCAGTGATGGGAAGAGTACAATATGGCCTTATGATATTGCACAGAGAGGGGGCTTAGGAGACCTGCGTTCTCTTCTCAGCTCCACTACTGCCCTGCTGGGAGGTGGTACGTGAATCAGTTCACTTTCTTACATCTCTGTTCTCCATCTCTGAAATGCAGGTAACAATGTTCACCTCTCCTTTTTATGGTATTTTGAGATCCAGAGATAAAAACTGTGAGAAAGCTAGGTATTATCTATGGCCGGTGGAGCTCTATATCACCTCTCCCTTCTTTCCATTACTGTAGAGCTTTCCTCACACTTCTTCCGTTCCCTGTATTACACACCTCTCGTTGCAGCAGCCACCCTTCCCTCATGTCACAGCAGACAGCCTGTGTGACCCTGGAAAACATAATTCTGACACTCCTTCTACCAATGACTGCCTTGAAATAGAAACTTGAGGCGACTGAGAGGGGCATGCCTCTTTCTGGAAAATTACTTAAGGATACTGATAAAGCAAGTGCCTTTCAGTCTCCCACCATTCAGTAACAGTTGAACACGTACAAATTTACAAATCTGTTGATAAAAAATAATTGTTTCTCTCATAGTTGAAAGAAAAAATCCTTCCAGTGGAAAATAACACCCTCGGGATTTTCAGGTGTGACTTTCCACCAGCAATCAAATTTTCAGCCAGCACAGCAGTGAGCCTTCCACTACAGGTTTCATCTTCAAGCAGTACAGCATGTTGGCATGTTATGTACACAGCCGGATTTGCAGGTCCTTTCTCAAGTCTTACTCAGGCAAAAATGTCTTTAACAACAGTGGGAGTTTTGCCAGAGCAAGGTTAAATGAGAACTGAAGGACATGTGGTCTGTAGCTGCTGTACATATTAATGCAGGACACATTTTACAAATGCTTCTCCAGTTTGCTTTGGCTCATTTCATTGCTGAAATCTGTCAACAGCCACAAAGCAGCTGTGAGCTGGGCTGAGAATTTCCACCTCCACCTTCAAGGTGCTTTAATAATGCTGCAATTCGAGGCTGAGCGGGTGGGAGTGAGCAGGGGAGGACTGCTGAGACAGTGATTGCTGAGAGTGCCTGCAGCATCCCAGTCCCTCACACCACATGGTAGATTACAATCTTTCCCTCAATGAAATTGCTTTTGTCACCTCTTTTCCAAATGGTGACCTTATCTACCTCTGGGCAGCTAAGAAGTACAAAACGGCTCTCAATTACATCCCCCAGTCACTGTCAGAAGAAAAGGGAAGGCGCGTGAGCATCTGCAGCTGGCAAGGTGTGCTGTGTGGAAACCCTCCGCGACAGCAGGCTGCCCTGTGTGCCAGCTTGCTGGCTTTGTCTGCAGGTGCTGGCTGGGACTGTGCCTCACAAGGATGTGCCCGCACTGTGCCTGGGTAATAGCTGAAGAACCAGAAATGTGCTGCCAACACAGCTTTCAGGCACAAGGAGAACCACAGCTGGTAGAAGACGCATCATATTGAGAAAACATAACTAGCAACAACTGATTAGCTAATTATCTGATTGCAGCCACAATCCAGCGAAACGTTTAAGCATCTGAGAACAGCACTGGGAAAGTTTTTCTTTCACTGAATCATCTTTCTCTCTGAAATGTGAAGCTTTGAGGGACAAGGCAGGCAAGAAAAACACTCTGAGAGGAATAATGATTTCATTTTGCTAACTTTGGCAAAGTTTACTATAGTTTTGAAATTTTATTTTCGATAAAAGCATTCAATAATGAAGGTAAGGTGAAACGTTTGACCCAAAGCAAGGGGTTGTTGTGCAGTTGTTTTCCATGAACCGTGGGAAAGAAACTCATCATAATTTTACGGAGATCAAATGATTTAGTTTGGATTTGTCAAAATTGCCAGTGTAATGAAAAATATGTTGTTCACAATTTTCACAAAGTTCTCCTGGGAGTCAGTGAGATTGTATGGCCTTAAAACTCAACGTGTATTTAAGTCTTGAGTGAGAAGGACCTGAGCAGGAAAATTAGATTTATTCATTAGTCCTGTGAGATGGAAGACCAATACAGGCAGTGAACCACTTCTCACAACTGCATCACTAAGAGTGAAGTCTGTTGGAAATTACTCACTCTTTTTATGGCAGTTTCTCCTATATGGATTTTCATGTAATGATGTCCACATATCTTATTTTGCAGTACATTTCATGTGGTGATCGGCCACTGGCCAAGACCTAGCTCCAGCAGATTGTATGTGTGTGTGTATATATTTGTAGACCTATATATGTTGCATGTACAGATATGTGTGTAATCCTGCACTCTCACAATTCCTGTTTCCAGTCTAATTATTCCTTTATAGTTAGTGTGCGCACACCTAACTTGAATGTCCTGTACTCATTTTCCACTTTGTCCTGACCTTAGCTGTCCTTTTGTCTTTATCTTTCCCTCCACTCCCATCAGTCACTCTCTAAAGGCAAGTAGATAATGTCTGGTATTATTTTGTTTGGTACAATCAGATCTATTCTTTCCTTTCTGCTTTGACTCTCCAGTCTCACTTCCATATTTTGCCTTCATTGTCTCTTCCCCACTTTTTTTTCTTACTGGTCAGCTCTCTCGATCCACAGAGGTTATACCTGAGCTGCTGTAACTGCTTCCCCCAAAACGGGTGGAAAGAAAGTGATGTTTTTATGGTTAGTGTTGTGTTCTTCCCCTGTTTAAGTCAGTGAGAGAGTGTTACTAGAATAGCAGCAGCATTTGACTGCTTCTCTGCAGGAATCTCTCAATTAACCAAAGTTTGTATGGGGCTTTGAAGATACAAATCACTTCATAAGTGTTTAGTAGTCATTATTATTATTATCATAATTAATTTCAAAATGCCGGAGGTAGGATGTTAGAAGATACAGCATCCTCCACAATCCCATATGATTTTAAAACCCACATTGTGATTGTGCTTTTTTTCCAGATAGATAGCTGCCTATTAGTAACTGGGTAAGTTACCAACCCATTTCCAGAAGAGACCATGAAAAGGGATAGGCTTTTTGGAGATGGGCATTAAGGATTGTAAGCATCTTTGTGGATCTGGCTCTGATTTCTAATAACCTCTAGAGAATTAATTCACTGTCAGATTTTTTAATATGGAAGGGCTTTGTTTTTTTCAGGTCCCCAAGCCAGATATCTGAAAGCGATGCAACCTGTTACAGTTTAGAAATGCAGCCTTCAAAGGACCATACGTCACTTGGGACCTCAGTGCTATCCTAATAATTCTGTCCTCCTGCACTGCCCCTGAACAAGGAGAGTCAGTGAAGCTGAACAGTTCTCTGTTTTTCAAGTTACAAGCCATACGAATACACAGTCCAAGTGGAAGCTCCTAGGTCGTGATTTTATGTCCTGTTTTTAGCGATGTCTTCAATGGTCTGAGAATTTCTGGAGTTGAAACATTACCTCAGGTCCTAATTCTGCAAATATTCAATGCTCAAATCCCTTTACTTTAGCACATGAGTCATCCCTGTGAATTCAATGTACCTTACATTACAAACTGGCAGGATGTTTGTTTTGCCCCTTCTGTTACACATCTCAGAGCGCTGTAATACAGATGGCCTGCTATGCCTTTGCTTCATTATTTCATCTATGAGTCTGCAGAAAGAGCCTGTCTCATTGATTTTTGGAAAGGTGTAAGAAGAATAAGTGGGCAAGAGAGTCATTGACCCTGGCACTAATGGGGTGGATTCAAGCTGCGCTCGGAAGAGGGACCTGCTGTGACCTAAACAAGATTAACAAAGTATAAAAAGATCTTTTTCTGTAAATCAAATTGATTACCTTACTCAGGATCACATGGGTACTCCCGACAATGTAGAAAGTACAGCGGAAAGCCTTTATGTAATATTTTACTTATTAATTTAATTATGCACTTTGGCTCCTGTCATAGTAATAACAGTAATTAATAAAACAGAACATCTATCCAGAGCTGCGGGTGTCTCTCATACAAATTATAAAATCGCATATAAAACAGATCATGAATGTCACTGTGGTGTAGAATTAGCTAATTTTAGGGACCTTATCTGCACTACAGAATTTCACACCAATTTTAGAGCACTGATACAGCCACTTGGTCACTAGGAAAGAAGCACAGCATTTCGTAGTGCAGATGAACTGTCTATGTACTTTGTTCCTCACATTAGTGTTAGGTAGTGTTTTCACCCCGTCCTAGATGTGAGACTAGATTTGTTTAAGGACTGAGCACATAGAGGCTTTGGGAAGCATGCTGGAAAAGGTCCTAGAAATTGCCTCCATTATGTCCTGAAAATGATTACATGAACTGTAAGCTAATCTCCTTATTTTTGAGCATTTCATCTAACAAGTAACATTTTGTTGCCTCACCAAGATGCATTCTGTCTAATTGCCTCCCCATGTCCATGCCATTTATGTCTGTTTAAGGTATCACGTCTGGACGAAAGGGCATGCGCCAACGAACTTTGCCAAGTGGCGAACAGCCACCACCCCCTACCGCGTTGAGTGGGAAGCAGACTTTGAGCCATACGTTGTTGTGAGGAAGGACTGCCCGGAGTATGACAGGCGGTTTGTTGGATTTGGCTGGAACAAAGTAGCTCACATCATGGAACTGGATGCACAGGTGAGGAGACAACGCCTGCATGTACCACCCAGGGCTGGGCAGCAAGGTTGTTAAATGAAATCCGTGTTCTGGAGAAAAGCTTCGGGCTTTGCATTGCCAAAGTGCTCATTTAGCCTTACTGAGCTCCTTAATGAGTGCTTCTTGAGTTGGGAACACTCAATTTTGTCCTTGTCAAGCATTAAAAGGAGAACTGACTCTGAGTTAGTTTATTTGTCAGAGCTAAGAAAGTTGTTTTTTTGCAGTGGCAAATTCCCTGCAGTGCCTACCTCCTACCCAACAGTGTGCCTGAGCATTGCAGTGCTTGTTGCCAGTCTCATCACCTACTAGGGGATCTATAGACCTAGCTGGAAGTGTTTTAGTTAAGCAGAGGTTGGTGAGTCCCAGATGCTAAATTAGAATTCAAAAAGCAATCTTAAATTGAATCCAAGGCAAGCATCTTCAATTTCTGGCATGGATTTACAGCACATCTCTACAAAGCCAAGGACTTTACATTTCTAAAGTCTCTAGCTGTGGAACAGACTCTAGAGGATCCAGGTACTTGATGCTTGGACTATCTGCCTCTTGGATGTGTGACTTAGGATGGAGCTGCTGGGCAGAATATATAGGAATAAGGATGCAGAGAAAGCTCCTAGACTGGCTGTAGAGCTCTCAGCACTGCCAAGGTCCCTGCCACCGACCTAGATCTTAGAGTCTACCACTGACTATGGCTTTGTGGGAGCCCGGTGCTGCTGCTCACTGAAATCTCAGGGTTTGCATCTCCCTGCTGTTCTTGGGTGTGAAGCTAACCACTGTGCTAATCAGCAGGGTCTGGGTCATGGCATTTCTTTTTAGTTTGGGTTTGTTGGGGTTTTTTTTTCAGTTTGGTTTCAGCCCCAGTTTCTAACTAGTAGCATTTCATGCTAGCCAAAAACACATGCTTTTTGACCATCTGCATCCTCCTGTGTTAGCTTCTGCTATGGATCTGGAACATAGCTGATCCTTCTCTGCCTACCCCTTACCAATTCAGGTAAAGCAGAGTAGCACAAGGCATATAACAAGCTACTGGGAGATTGTGTCTTTGAGGTGTGGGCTACATATGCAGGACGGATATTTTCTATTTCTGCTTACAAAACCACATGGTCACCTTGGGGTGGCAGCCACTTGCCCTCTGGCTGCAAAAAGGCATTCCCAACAAATTTGTACCTACTTATGTTGAGAAGAAATTATTACAGGCTAGAAAAAAAAATTGTCCCTTATATTATCGTTAATAACAATACTTTGCTCTGCTGTAGCACTTTAATTTTCCAGTGCGCTTTCCAAATGCTAATCAATTAACCATCAGTTGTGGAGAGTGTCCATGTAATGATTTATTAGTTGTTAATCTGGGTAACAAGGCTTATGTTCCAACTGGCAGCTCTCATCTAGCACTTACAATTTAACTCTTCTGTTCACAGACACTTGCCCAGCATACAGATTTCACGCATGGGAGACTGGAACATTTTTCAAAGTTGATCATAGCGCAGATATTTTAAATGGCCATTGGGTTGGAACTAACTCTGGGAAATTGTTTTTCTCACTCTTCCAGCCTTTAAGACATTCTCACATTGAAAAGAAGTTTAATTTTCATCTGTAGCAACATGAGTATTGGCCTGTTCTCCCACAAAATCAGACTGGAGGGGACATGGGATCACACAGCTACCTCCCCCTATGGCATTCCTCTGCTTGAGGGTGTCTGCAGATCAGGTTGCTGTCAGCTGCTTGGCTGGCTTCATTACCAGCAGGCAGAGCAGCTTCCCAATTGAATTATTTCCCTGCTCCTCACAACTCCAGCATCTGTCAGGACTCTTTCAGGCTCCTTACCAAGGGCCTGTGCCACTACTGTCCTTCAGAGTGGCACGCCACATGGAGATGATCGTCATTATTATTCCTGGGGGTATGTAGATGTCCACTGAGCTGGATGCTGTACAAATACATAGATAATGACAGTCTCCATCTAAAGAATTTATAACCTGTGAGGTAGGGACAGAGGTTCCTGCAAGCGCATCACTTTCTCAACACATGTTTCCATGTAGTAGGGATAGGTCATTAGGAAATGTTTCCCTGCTTTTCCAGTGACTCTGGAATTAGACTGTGAGCATCGGTTTTTCCAGGATCCCAGCCCAGTATGTTTCAAAGGGGCTTATTAGCAGCAGACTCCTAAGTTTCTGGAAGGCTTTATGTGCCTGAAGGCCTTTCAGAGGGATGGGAACACTACTGTGCTGAACAGTTTACACTGCAGAGCATAGATGGTCCCTAACCTGCAGGATTACAGACTTGAGATGCAGAGAACAAAGAAAAGATTGTATGAAAGGGATGTATCTTCCTCTGCAGCTTCAGCCTTTTGTTTTAAGGTCCCACAGAGACATATTTTGTAGTTTGTAGTTTATCAGCTCTCCTCACTCCATCATGCCAGCCTTTGTTTTTGCATTTGGTTCCCCATTAGTTCTAAGTCTCTTCCAGCGAAATGAGCTCTGCCTGGGAGCATCAGACTATTTTGCTCTTGCTGTACATTTGTCACCCCAAACAAAAGCACAGAGGGGCCTATTCCCGTATGTGACAGCATTGTAGTTTGGCACAAAGATTTACCACTTTAGCACTGTCTGGCAGGGAAGGCATTCCCATAATGAGAAAGGAGTAGCCATGCAGCTGCAGCTGCACCTAGATGTCCAACACACACTACTGTTTCACAGGTGTCTCTGGGACAGGGCTGCAGCCTCAGCTGCACACTGGGCTCACCAACACCACTGCCAGAGTTGGGAGGTGGATTCACATTGCGTTCTGCTCACTTCTTGCCATTTTGTTTGGGCTTCATTTTGGGCTGTGTTGCTCAAACACGTGGTTTCTGGTAGCATCATAACCCAGCAGTTTTCAGTTGTTTCCAGGCTGATCATATTTTGTTAGGTGAGGAAAGATTTATAGGTGGAACACTCATATTTATTAGCACAAGTGTGTTCTCTCC